TATTATAAATTAAAATTAAAATCTTAATTAATGTAAACTGAAATTTCATCTTAGTTAATTATTATATTTGACAAAAAATTTAAATTTTAAAAATAAAATATTGTGAAATAGATATATACTATATTTAACATTTTTTAAAAGTTTAGGAGGTAACTTGTCTATACGAACTTGTATAGACAAATATTCTGTTAGTCTAGTTACCGGAACGGAATGTTTGTTAAGTAGATTATTTTGAAACAAAATTAATAATTTATAAATTATTTTTAAAAAATTAGTTTTAAAATAAATTAAAATAAACTATATAATTAATAAATTATTGATTAAATTTAACCTTTTTCGTGTTATATGGCAATCTGTTGTTCTTTAAATAGAGCACACTTCAATGGACTCCTCGCACCAGAATCCCTAACAGACCCAAAACGGTAAACAAGGTGCCGCATGGATTTCACTACAACCCCATTCATATAGACTCCAAAATTCACAGAACCACCACCCAGATGCATGCTTCCATGAAAGAACATGGTCATCCACCCACTCAGCCCAAGTACAGTGACGTCTCTCAAGCCCTAAGCGGACACTGCATCAGTGCCGAACTAGCCTCGGCCCAATCACTGCACCGACACCACACCAGTCACGTAGGGTTGATGTTCACAAATCTAGCCTTTGCACCACTTGAAAATTAACACCAATCCGAAACTTAATTGCCGATACCACCAATCTATTTTCCTATTTATTTATTTTATTATTGTTATTTTTTATTTTTTCCACCCGCACAATTTCTAATCAACACTGGGACGAGCAAATCGATTATGTTGCCGCTGCAAGTAAAGCAACACCACTCTCCATTCAAGCCTTAATTGCTAATAAACGAAAGAAACAGGGGAGCTTGCCGCAGACTTCCAGGGGAATAATCTAAGGACTTCTAAATTTGATGATAAAAATCAAACTTGATAAGTCTTAATCTAAATGCTTAATTTATAGGATGATTCATAATTTTATTATTTTGAGAGTTTTTCATATTTTTGTCATTCTTTAAAATATGTTATCGTTTAATACAACTCTTTAAGAGTTTTAATTATATTTAAATCATAAATATATTTTACAACAATAACAAAATTTACTTTTAATCTCTTAACATAATATGGTATTTTTAAAAAGTTTTTTTTAGAAGGTATTCATTAAGACAATCATACCACATTCATTCTTTCAGATCAATCGATACAAAAATTTTGCTCTTAGTCATGCGATATATATTTCAAGAATCATATACTTCTAGCATCATATGCTTACCACATATTAAGCTACAGCTCTTTTAAGTTTTACAAGAACTTTTGTATAAATATAATTATCCTATATTGTGATGTTGCAATATCTATAAAATATGTTTATAGTCCTTTAGAGACTTCAAGAAAAAAAGATAATAATAAAATTCATCAAAAGAGAATATTTTTTCATTACTGATTTCAGATTTTGCATAAATCTTTATGTTAAAGTTTTGCTTTGTATTCATTATATATTTTCATTTATACTACTTGTAGCATGCAAACTTTATATTACTATATATTTGAAATATTGATCTAAAAATATCATGTAATTCTCATGATTTTAATTTTAGTAAGATTTGTCTCATTTTTTATTGGCCAATTATTTTTTTATTGACATTTTTTAACAAATTTTAGCTAAAGATCCTCTTTTCTGTTGACTATATCATTCACTATAACATACGCAAAATTTCTTATCAATAACAAATTGATTTCAATTCCTTCCTCCTTTTAGGAAAACCATAATTTTATAGGGATATGATCTTCTATAATTTCTACATTCTTATTGTTTTCAAGTATCTAAACCTCTTCTAGGGTTACTTCCTCAAAATTTATTCAAGATTAAAAATGATTTCAATAATACTAACATTGTACTTATGTTTTTTTCTTCATTCTTGAATTTTTATCCTTAGAAATAGTCATTCTACCACACTTCTAGTGCACACATAATATATACTCATTTTCCTATATATTAGTAACTTTTCTAATAAAAATATCAATAAAAGCAAGAGTGTTCAAGGCATAGACATGTGATTTACTTTCTTTCACTGCGTCAATGTATCCATTTGACAATTGATTATACAAAAACATTGAATTTCCAAGTCACATCAACTTGTTCAAGGATATTGGATGATGCATCTCAAATTATCGCGTCTTTTCAATATTTATTCATCTCTCTTGTTGCTAGGAACATGATTTTGATAAATTGAAAATCACAAATTTTGTTATGAGAAGAACATCAATCAATCATTCAAGATATCTAATAATATATGTGAATTCAAAACTAACATTAATTTCTAGCCTTCTTTGAAAGTAAGTATTATCGAGCCAAATTTTCTATATTATCTTGATTGTATATTTTGAAAAATATGTTCTCAATGCAACATTACACGTTGCTTAAGGAACTAATTTGTCATTATTATATTCAAGAATATATTAATATCATAATCCATATTTCAAATAACTAAGAACATGTTTATATATCTCCTTGAACCCAATATAATAGGAATAAAGGAGATCATTTTCTAATTTCATTTGCAAAAGGATTGGTAAGCACGTTCCCAAGAAAATAAAACATATGAAAAATTACTTGATACCTAAGTCAATAAGGCCTAAAACTAAAAACCTTTAGGATCAACTAACTTCTAGTTAATCTCCAAGTTTGATCCGATTAGATTTGTGTACGCATATATAATTTGGAAGAGAGACGCAACATTTTCTAATATGTGCTCTTTTAACCACATATAAGAGAAGTGACATAGGAGTATTTTATATCATTCTCATTTATGTTTTCAATCTGATTACCATTATATCTTTGCATCTTTGAAGTTTAGTAAATTCTAATATAATAAACTCGAATATAAAAAGTCACATACTTAAAAATTTTATTTCTCCAAACTAGAAACTTGAAACTCTTTAGAGCATTAATAATATACAATATTTAAGATCTTCCAAAACTTTCAATGGTAAACAATGTTCAAGCTTTTATGGATTTTTTCAATCAAGCTTGTATCATCAAATAAAAAATTAGCTTTAGATTAACTATTAAAATTA